CAAAAAAAAACTATGTGGTTTATTGGTGTTGAAGTAGAGCAAGAGACGAGTGCACCCCCTCCTAAAAAAAATCCTGCATCCGCCTCTGCCCTGAGTGGGAAAAAATAAGACTGCGAGAACTCCCTTAGGCTCGGTTTGCAGTCTCGAAAGTTTAAAGGTAAAATTTAATAAACCAGTTCTTTGGACTCGAACTCTGAAACTCGAGTCAAAAAGTTTATCATTGCGGATACATACTGAAACTCTGCTGCAGACTAGACGATTGTACACGTTTTTCCTTTTTTGGCATAAATATTAATTGGGAATAAGTAATACAGTCGATTCGAACCCCGTTGGTAGGCGGACACTCATTGGTAAAAATAAATGCCATTTATTGCCAACAAAGTACTAATTGAATAAAAAAAGGTCATAATCTGGATCGTAAAGCAATGTCTTTTCTGAGTTAGACAAAACCGTTATTCTGCAGAGTATGTCCGTGGAAACAAACATTATATTAATCAAGACCAGCACCTGCTCTGCATAGCTCATTCAGTTGTGCCAATAGTCAGGAACTGACGTCTTATTCCGTTTGAAGTAAAAGCAATGAATGTTAACATTGGCATGATGTCACTATCCGAAAGCTTTTTACCTTAAAGAAAAAGTTTATTACAGCTGCACACAGTTGTCAACAAAGTGTCCGTCTTGGCGAGGTTTCAAGAGGTCGAAATTTTATGACGACAATGTTCCTTGTCGACGTTAACGGGTGTCCGTCCGTATTAGGTGGGCTGAATGTTAGGACTTTTTCCAGGGGCAAAGAAAACTTTCCGTGGTGTCCTTAAGCACGGTTCAACCGTATGATTTTTAAAATGGCAAACCTCCAACACACCCCCTCACCCGCCTTTATAATCGCAGACTATTTCTCAGGCAAAGGACACATCTCTCCAGAATTCAGCGAAATGAATTTCAAGTCTTACCTGGTAAAGTGATTTCATAACACTCCTGTTCTCCATTCTAAAATTGCGCTAATCTAGTATTCCTGCAGAAGAAGTCCGTCGACAGAACCGTCAAGGTAGGAAAGATTACAACAATTTCAAACACTTTATACAAATCCTTATGCAAGATCTGTCAAAATGTCTCAAGCATGACGAAACGCACAATATATTACGAAATAGGTATCACACTTTGCAAAACATACCTTTATTTCGTAATTCAGACAAGGTTTTATATTTTTCAAGTGCATCATCCAGAATATTCGAATGTTAAGTTCAAAGAATTGTTATATGCCACAGAATAGAGTGTTTCCAGTTATTTCGTGTGATAAAACAGTTAAGGGAGCTTAACAAGTCTAAACAGCGTTAAGGCAACTGGGATCGATTAACACAATGCTGTCTAGCCATCCATCAATCAAACAGATCACTGAGGCCAGTAATTGTCATGTTAATCCAGAAGAAAATATTCTGGGTGCACCCCCACCCCCGCCCCCAAAAAATCCCGGTCTTAATCCGGGGCAGACTTACCTAACACGGAATTTTACCATCCGAGTTTGTAACTTGTGTGAAATTAATACTTTAGTAATGTACAGACGACAATCTAGAATTCTGAATTGTCAGCAAAATGATTGAATTACCGTTAAAACCATCAATAAACCGTTCCCTGAATCTTACAATGATACGGCCCTACGTAAGAAATGAAGAGAGGGAACACGTCGGTACTCACTTAGCCTTGTAGGGTCTTGTAGCAAGTGTCGAAAGGGCTTGAGGATAGGGAAGAAGGGGAAAGGGAGGGGGGGTTGGGGAGTACTCTCTCCCTCTTGCGTGGAATTTACGGGCCGCGGACTTCACGTGCCAGGACCCCTGGCGCTCACGTGATTGTAGGGTCATAGGAAAAACGCATGCACACCGAGGAAACGGTACCTACTTTACAAAGGCGCCTCAAGCTCACGGGTGAAAATATTTGTAGTTTTATGTCAATTGTTTGGAATTGCTTCATAAATTAGCAATCGCAATTTAGCTACCGCGGGTACCAGAGGTTTTCTTTGCTCGCGTGCGGTGTGATGCTTCGGTGTCGACCGCATGAAGTCTCTGGCACCCAGGGTACAATTTAGCAGTCCAAAATAGTATAACGTATAGCACAATGCTTAATCTTGTCGTATGTTTTATTTGCGTGTTCTTGTCATTAATTACATGCCGTTTCGGAGCCATTTCAGCCGCCCATTACCGCCCCATATAACATATTCAACAATGCAAAAACGATCCTCAAGAACTGCCACCTATCGCTAACGCCTTTGTGTAATTTACTTTAGTAAAATCTAACTAGTGGTCTATTATCAATACTGCGTTCTGATTGGTTGAGCTACTACTAGGCTATATATTATAGCCCACTAGTAGCGAAAAGCGCGGGCCTTTTGGCGGCAAAAAAGGATTAAAGTCAAGCTTTAACTAGCTAAATGTTTTTTATTCTCGATATTTTTGACCAACTAGTTGGATTTTACTAAAACAATTATTCCTCTCGCCCTCATGGCCTCTGAATCAATAGCTATTGACTCAGAGCCAATGCTCAGAGCCCATTCGGGCTCAAGGAATAATTGTTAAATATTCCAGAAAACGATATTATATGATTTGCCATTTTAGCCCAATTTCAATTTTTCTTTCGTTTGTTAAAAGAACAAAAACAAAATTCAAAACAAAACAAAAAGGAGAAAACGATAATTCGAGTCAGGTCATAGGGGTGCTTCGGTCGTGGATCTCAGAGTCCCACTGAGCGAGGTTCGACTAGATAAGAATTTTGAAGAACGGGATCCACAAAATTTCGACTTCTTATCATTCGATATTATCATCGAGAGATGTCATCAAAATATACAATCGGGTCAGCAGTCCATTCGCCACGGTCACCTTTTTTCACGGTTAGCGTGCAGAGAACAGAGACGACATTTCTCCAGTCTTCCAAAGTGGTTTTACAACGTGTATGAAGCTTCCTTTATGATGTCGATCTCAAATTAATGTCGCCTTTAACCACGACAAAACATTCAAGCGCCACTTGCGTAAAACAAAGACAGACTTTCGCTCTTTAAAACACTTCCTCTTCGTCCACCCAAAATCAGTTCCTACTTTTACTTGACCGCGTTACTCGTAAAACGTCGAGTGATGTTCTGAACTTGCGAATTTCATCCTTAACTTACAGATTGCTCCACGCCAAACTTCTCATCCACTCCATCGGGAAAGGAAAGTTTCTCAAATATTTCGTTCTTGAGAACTAAATGCTGAGCTAGCTCTGTGGGATCTGTGATAGGAACCTAAACAAAGAAACAAATAAATAAATTTACACTACTACATGGGAAATTTCTGCAATTTGATTGGCTTAGAGCAGTGGTATTTCAGCTTAATTTGAAATACCTACATATGAAAATTACAAACCTTTTGCAGGTAGTAATATAAACAAATAATAGCATGATTTTAATAATCTTGCTATTACCTATACAAACTAGTAATATTCAAAGATTACAGGGCGTCGCCTTGGGGCTGGTTTGACACCGAAACTCATTTCATTAGCAAAAATGTACATCAGGTGTCGGATAAACACTAAGAATCGCTTAAAACTCGATGAATTATTAATAATTTCCCGATCAGGCTTTGATCTACGATATATTTAGAAAAGAAAAAGATTAATCTAAAGTCTTACAAAAATTTTGAAAACACTATACAACGCAAATATTCATTTAAAAGGAACTGCACGCGCAATATAACGTTCAAATAAAAATACAAAACAAAGGAGTAATGGTACTTGCGCGCGCTGACTTTGACAGGTTCAAATAAAATTTAGTCCACATTCAGGCCAGCTGGGTCTTGTGTCCGGTGTCTGAATCACATTCCCACCTGAATATCATTCGGCATAGTATGGCATAAATCACGTTTTCGCTGACACGAGGAACTGTATGAAACACGCTGAGTATGATTGTAATAAGACATCATGATGCTAATTGTGACACAGGTGGCCCAAGCGTAATATGAGAGTTTTTATGGGAAGTCTTACATTAAATAAATGAACTAAAAGCGATAAAAGTTATTAATAAAATGTAAATGTTGTTACCTCGTGTGCTTGTGTTTGTTTTTACGAAGTTTCAGCGCGATTTGAGTAGGTAGGTTTTAAGCCAAAGGGAAAACTATCTTTAGAATTTTTTTTGTCCAGAATTGAAGTTTACAAGCACTCCACTCAAATAATTTGGAAGAAATAATGTGAAGAAAACATCAATAATAAGATTAAATACTCCAATTAACAGGAGGCAATCAGTCGGCTTTTCATGGGCGTGGTCAAGGAGTTGATCTTGAGATGGACGATAAACAAATGCAGCTGGTGGTTAGAGCGGGATTTGGAGGAAGGACCACCGGATTGTGAGTCCAATGCACTGACCACTTGGTCCCCCTGCCACCAAAATACAGCCACCCAAGTTTTCAGTGCATTGGACACTAAATAACAACAAACAAGATATTTAATGTAACATTCATTCAGGATAACTATACCTTGAGTCCCAAGATTTCTTCGATTTTTCTTTCTTTTGAGGAATATTCTCGTAACATGTACGAAGAACCAGCCTGAAATATTTAGACATAATAATGGAAGATGATAAACGTTTCATATCTCTCACAAAAGAATGAGACAGCTACAACTTTTTGGTTGAGTTTTCCTTAAAACACATCGCTACCTTGCATACTTCTTAGAAATTATGGACTGACATGGCTGAACTAGTGTGGCCGGTCAGTTCGCACCGAATAGTAAGTGTCCTATAGCCTGGGTGCATAAAAGAAGTCTGCACGCAGGCTAGCATCCTAAGTATGAGGGTGGTTTATTGTGTATACGCAAGTTATGCAGTGCTTTCGAGTGGCATACAGTGAAATATCTCATGAGTGCAGGCTTGATTTTTCTTGACATGCACACAAGACTTACTTTAGGTATTGTCCCATGTAGTTGTAACTTTTGGGTTTGTGTAAATCAAATCCTATGATGTACATGTAACCATCTGAGTGATGACACAGTTTCACTTTACTTTTTTTTACCTTGTGGTATATTCTTGTATCATTGATTCTAATAAGAACACCATCCACTCGCATGAAAAACCTCAGAAGTAAAAAGAAACCACCTTGCATAACACGCTGAAAAAGAAAAGACAGATATTTTCTTCCAAGTCACTGATTCTTTGATTTATTATCAATGCCTATGTTACTGACTATAAAAGTAAATTTGTATTCTTTCACAATACCTATCTTTATACACCGCTCACTCTGCTTATACCATAAAATTAACACCTTTTTGCCACAATGCAACTCCAACTTATTTTGCAGGGACATGGCAATATATTCCTAACTGTTTTAATTGCTCAAGTCTCTCTATCTCTAGAATGAAAGACTGTGAGGAAATGCTGGCCTGTGTGGTACTTTCGAAAAATACAATACAGGTAATGTGCAGGAGAAGGGGATGCATGGGCAAGTTCCCTCACCCTAATACCCTTCAAGCTTCAAGTGATAAAAAAAAGAGCACATGAACTTTCCTTTTCCTTTTAAAGTATTTGAAGTATTTTGATGTACAAATTTTAATTATTATTTATAATATTATACAAGACATTAATTTTAGTCTTTACCATTTTTACATTTAATTTAGAAATCCCATTATCTGCTAGTTCATCTTCAAACAATATGACATCCTCATAGAAGTAGATTTTTTCTTTGACCTTCAACTGTTCCATATCTATTCTCTCATCAGTAGACTCCACCTGAAAGGAATAAAGATCACTCAACAAGGCCAAGGAAGCCATATAATATTGTTGCTATAAAGATGAGCAAACTGCATTCTGGTGGAGATAAAGTATCCAAGCTGCTTTAGCCTGCAGTGCAGGCATACATGTATTTTGGGTGAGCGAAACCAGGCTAAAGCTGCTTGCAAACTGAAACATTTAAAAAATAGAGATACATACTACACATGCTGCAGGGGACTGGTCACATGATGCAGTTTAATGTCAGATCGAACATGCACAGTCAGAGGTTAGAACTTAATTTGTTACATATGCCTTCAAAGGTGAGTCTGAAGAATACACTTTACAGCTAAATTTATTGTATCGCGCTGTCCGTTTGCAAACTTCAGAGAAATTTTGGGTTTCCTGTTCCGTCAATCATGAAACTCTTATAGGAAACAGATGTTTACTTGAACGAGTTCAAAAGGTCATGGTTTGTGATTTTGTGATTGGTGGATTTTGATCCATTTTCTTTGTTTCTTTGTTTCAAGGTTCCTTTCTTGTGATCGTCCTGGTTTGGGCAGTAATTGACTCATTTGGTTCAAATATTTTTTTGATCTTTCTTAATACAAATGTCTATGCCACTTGCATAATTAAACAATGTCTGGCTCCTTCCTTTGACAAAAAATTCCACTCACCATCGCAATTTCCTTCGCTATTCTTGAGCAGTCTATACTCTATAGTAAATTGCAGTTTTGTTTTTGCTTGCAAAGCAGGGAAAGTGCATAGCATTGTGGTTTGTATTAACCCCATCCGCACTCAAACGATTTCAGTTACAGAACAGAGAAACCCAAAATCCTTTAATTTGCAATTTGCAAAACGCATGGTGTGATACAACGAATTTTGGCTGTAAATGAGGTGTATTAAGGACTGCCTTCTGAGGAAATTCCATGATGGGCTAGATACTACATCTAATGTAAAAAAGTTACTGTGTCAGTTGAGTCAATTGGCATGATCCTTTAAATTTGCATATCATGATCAAGTGCTTAATGTGTCCACTGTTCTTACTATGGCACTGCACTTTTTGAGTCATTTGTTTAACAACTGAATCTTATTTCTGAATAACAACCAAAAACTGAGAATTATTTGCCGTAGGTTTGTACATTAAAACAACAAATTATGTATTATTTAATGACAATGTAAAAAAGGTTTTTACCTTCATGGTCATCTTGTTTTTGCCTGTCAGTGTACCCCTGTAATCTGTTGTGAACGTCCAATCAAAAGGTTTTATCACTTCCTTTATATATTCTGAATCCTGCCTAAAGAAATATTGGTTTCAAAGAAGATAAGGATAAATGAAAAAACAAACAAACAACCAAACAAATCTGTAATTCTCAAAAAGCATGTGTAAATAGCTTTGAGGCCCTGAAATAAAAGCATGCAAGAGCCAAGAACTGCAAATACCTGCAAATACTGTATGCTACACAAAAAGAAAATGCAATGAAATGTTTTATAAAATATTTTCTTATTAATATAATTTGATTTAAAGACATATTAGGGTCAATAAAATTTGCAAACCGTGGAGAAATGTCAACCATGTCAACCTGTCAAAGAGTACATCACTTTAAACTCGGTATAGTACACTGTTAATAAGTTATTGCTCCACAACTTAATCAGTAGCATTGTCAATGAAGACAATAAAAATTAATGGTGAAGTACAGTTGGGATTGAAAAATAATACAAGAACATATCTTCAGTTCACATTTTAATTAGCCTTTTAGGTATAGTACCAATAGTGACCAACATCACTTTTCTCCTAATGATATCCATACAATGTCAAGAGATTAGGTTATGAGAATTAATTAAATGATTACCTAAGAGAAAATGCTTTGATCTTTTCTCAAATTCTCTCAACTCATTCTTTAAAGAAATGTATAGAGATCAGTTTGGAGAATTTGCATGTGGATATTGGGGCTCAAAGGGTTAACAGTAGACCTATCATAGCAATAAAGAGGAGAAGTGTGATCAATGTCCAATTACCATGGAAGCAAAATTCATGGATCTTAACAATCTTTCTTGGCAGAGATAGTTATTTGCATTGGCAAATAATGAAGAAAAGTACATTGCATGGGCTACCAATTTGTTCCTGAGTTCAATCATGCACAGGAAAGTCATACATGTCAATCACTTTCATTTTTTTCTGCCATATTTGCAGGATCATGGTTTGTTGAGATCCAGAAATTTTGCTACCATGGCAACATGGCATAACAACTTCTCCTCTCTATTACCTTTTACTTTGCCACTCTTCAGCTACAGCAACTTTCATAAGGTCATGTTTGTTATCCACATGTTTAAGTGCATCTATTGCATTGAACTGAATTCCAAACCCTGCAGTGTGATCGATCTGCAGAATGTTGTCGCCAAACACCATTTCAGGAAGGGAGGGAAGCTCAAGTTCAGCAGAGATTCTACACATGATTAATAGAAAAAAATAGTAACAAAGTAAATTACCTTTAAAGCCAGTAGCAGCTATAAGGTGATTATTTTTAATGCTACATAAAATATTAGTCAGAGGCCCTAAAAATCACAGTCCTTTTCTGACCTATATCGATGAAAATTCAAGGAGTGATTAAACCATAAAGCATTGTACAGCAGTTTAATAACTACTTGCAAAACTAGGGGAGGGTTAGTTAATGGTCAGAATGGTTTAATACTCCACTTATCAGTCATAGAGTACACCCCACCCCCTCCTTTGAGGATCTAGGCCATTTGCCCTACTTTAATCTTATCACGCAACCATCAACACAACTGACTCCTGTAGTTTCTACCACTGCAAGTGTACATGTAGGAGTCTTTATGTTCAATCAGTTAATTGACAATAGCACAGACTAATCGTAGTACAGAGATCAAGTGAATATTAGTGACTATTACCAGTAACCTGGACAACGAGCATTTAGCAACACGCAAAGAAAGTTGTGTCCGATAGCTCGGGGCTGGTGGACTTTGCTATCTGGCTAGTGATTTTTGTTCCTAACTTGCCCGACGGGCAAGTGCTGTTTCTTTGGGGGAAATTCAAATTGCAGAAGGATTGTAATCAATCCTGCTAATCAAAAAGGGTTTTAGGGCCAGTTGAAATGACTTGTGGGCTAGTACATGCTAACCACAGCTTGCGCGAGTGGCAGGCTGTAAAACTGACTTTCTTTGCTCCCTGTTTTGGCCTTTAATGGAGGCTTTCTTAAGGGTTATGCTGTCACTTTGTCAGTCATTTCTGAGACTGCTGTTACCGGGTAGGTTACGAAAAAATGGCACTGTTGCATTTGCTAGAATGAAACTGTCCCTGCCGGTCCAGAGAGGAGAGTTTTTTTATTTTGCAGCTGAAATAGTTCAACTACAAAACTGAGCAGATGCTTGCTTTCCCTTCATATAAAAATGATTGCCACTGCACAATTCCTTCAGCTTTTTCTGTCTTTTGTTGGTGCTCTGTGACAAGATCATTGCCAGATTTCAGGGCCATTTTGTTTGTAGAGTCTACTGGCCCTTGGAACGCCTTTCTATGTCCATGTCCAGATCACATAACCTGCCATTTTTTAACCACCAGCCCCCTAAGGATGGTGAATTATTTTTGAATAGGGGGGTTTGAATTTTTTCATTAAAAATCTAGACCCTTTGCATATGTATTGCAATGGTGCTGACGAGATAGTATTAACCCTTCAGGTTAAAAATGGAACGCACCCACATCCACAGACGTGTCAAATTCCTCCACAAGATTACAACACTGATAAAGTTTAATGTTGTCAAGTGTATGTTTTAAGCTTAAGTTTACCTGTCAACATCTCCTGCTTTTAAAATGGCTCCTTTCGCTGTAGTTATTTTCCAAGGTCCAAAACTAAATGTATCAGTTTTTTTCATATCAATTTCGTTGAAGAGAAGATCTATATTCTTACTAATCTAATAAAATCTGCTCTGGACAAATGGAAACTCCATCTCTTACTCTACTCTCTCTCTCAGAAAACACGAGCCCGCCACGAGCATTTTGGAAAGGAACAAACAGCGGTAAACCACAAAAATGTGCGCACACATTTTTGGCACCGACCGCTGAGCACAAAGGGGCGCCTAATTCAAAATGGCGGACGAAATGGAGGAATCAATGGCGAATCAGGTGAGCAACTGTCTCGACAAAACAGTCCTTGACAAACCCATCTATCAAGGTATTATGGCGTTTGCAACAGTAGAGAAATTCGTAAGCACCTCTGACAAGGATTATGTACCACCAAAGTTCCCTTTTGAGCTGCCTTCGTTTAACAGATCGTCCACTTTTGGAGTAGAAATGCGAAAACACTTTTTCCTTGATCTCGACAACTGGACGTTTCTAAATCATGGAGCTTTCGGGTGCGTCCTTAAAGAAGCTCTAGAAACAGCTTTTAAGTGGCAGTGTTATGTGGAAAGACAACCTGTGCGCTTCGTTGACAGAGAAATGCTACCCCATTTGGCTTACGTTAACCGGAGACTGGCAAACTTTGTTGGCTGTGATCCGAGTGATATTGTCCTCCTTCCTAATGCCACTTTTGCAATCAACACTGTGATTAAATCAATAGCTTGGCGTCCTGGAGATACTGTTTATTTCTTGAACACTTGTTACTATACCGTGAAGAAATTATTTAGGCACATCAGTAGTGAACATGGTAAGTTCTTAATGCTGTTCGCCTATTCTTCTTTTTTTTTTTTTTAAATAAGCTTAATTTATTTCAAATGTATAACAACAAAAAATTCAACAAACAGAATAACAACTAACATTAAACTACTAAAGAAACCATTAACAGTTGATTTGAGATTTGGATTTGTGCTTTTAAGTGAGAAAGAAGTAGCAGTCTTCTTCTCTTAATTGCGGTGGTGTAGATATAATACTTTGCTATCAGTAACAGAGGTTCAATCCAAGCCTTAGTGCAAATTTGTTCGTAAAACCATAGATAATTTTTTTTTTTATTGAGCACAATACAGCCATCGCGTTTGGTATTCCACCAATAATGCGAATTTAGACCAGACTCTTTTAACGTGTAAGCTAGATACATATAATTGAGTTAGTGGTTGTTTTTTGTTCAAACAGAAGGTATTGATCCTTATCTTTAATCTTGTCATAAATAAGGTTGTATTAGTGGGCGAAATAATTTTTGGTTTACAATTTTATATTGAAAGATGGCTCGCCTGGTCACCTATTGTACAGGTGAGGTTATGTCCACATGAGCCTACAAATGTATTTGTAAAGATATAAAGACGTTTACAAGTCAAGTACTAGCTATAGGCTGGGCTTTTGTTGTTGATAGTAAATTACTGCTTCTGATGTTCAGGGGTTTGGTTTTAGTTTTGTTTGTTGGTTGGTATCCACAGTTGCTACATTTAGGTGTTGTGGTTCAATTTTATCCTTGGTTCAAATTTTCTTTTCTTTTGTTTCAAACTCATTATCATGTTATTATCATACATTGCCATACCCAAATACAAAAGAAAAGAAAATCTGAACCAAGGATAAAATTGAACCACAACATAGGTAACTGCATACACCAACCAATATATATATAAAGGCTAAGCAATCCATGCACAAAAGGAATTCTGAAAAATTTGTTAACGTTATTGCGTTAAGGGTGCCACCCTTGTTCCCCAAGGAATCACTTTTTACACGTATGAACTGTCCAATGTAGATAGCAAAAATATGCAATGTTTGTGATGATTGCTTTTATTGTTTGTGTGGACTAAACATGATCTTGTGAGGACATAGAATCCAGAGTGCTGATCACTTCTGGCAAATTCCTAAGGCTTTGGCTTCTCAAAATTTTGCTCAAATGTCACTTAATGTTAGCACTCAAGATGGCGAAATGCTCTTCTTGTCAGGGATTTTTTTAAAAAAAGAAGACACAAAAAAAGTGTGGCTGATAGTTGCACAAAGCACCTGCCATTCTACTTAACAAAGATGACTAAAACTGCATGATCATTTTGTGAGGCTAGTTAAGTACCCATCTAAGTGGGTTGAATTTTACAGTTTATTCCCACCTATGTGGAGAAAACCTTGCTTCCAATGACTAGATAGGACCAACTGGCTGGTTGGAGAGGCTTGGATTAACCAAACTGAAATACCAGAATGTCTTCAGACTTGATGAACTTATCAGGCATTTATGGTATTTACCAAATTTTGTGCTAATTGGAGTTAATTTTCAGGGGTTGTTCTGAAGGAAATCACAATCACTTTCCCTGCCACCAGTGAGCAAATTATTCAAAGAATAAATGAAACCTTGGAAGAAGGTACAAGATTGGCCTTGTTTGGTCATATTCCTAGTAACTATCCAATCGTGATGCCAGTGGAAGAGATTGTTCAACTTTGCCACAAGAAAGGTGTTCCTGTTTTGATTGATGGTGCGCATGCATTAGGAACCTTACCATTAAATTTAACAGTTCTCAAAGCTGACTATTATGTGGGAAATGCTCATAAATGGTTAGCCTGTCCTAAGGTATGTTTTTCCTTTCTTGTATAAAAATTATATATTGACCTTGTAATTATTCAAATAAAATACGCCATTACAAAGTTTACAGTATTCAGGTAAGCTGGAAGAACTGAAAAGAGTAGAAAATTTGCATCTCCTTGAATGACAGACTATATTTTCTGAAGCTTTCCAAATGGTGGCACAAACAATTTGATATTTCCATGTATTAAAATGGTACTTAACCATTGAAGTTTTGGTGAGATTAACTGTGATAACGCATAATGACCATTTAACTTTGCAGGGGTGTGGCTTTCTGTGTGTATCTAAAGACAATCAACATATGATCAAGCCTCTTGTTGTTTCAAGTGGTTTTACAGCAGGATTTAATTCACAGTTCATATGGACAGGTAAGACAAATGCAGCTTGTGAATTCCCAATTATGAACAATAGACTTCTTTTAAGCATGTACATTGTATTTTTTGATTTCCTGTTATAGGTTATGAATACATAATTATAATCATCATCATCATCATAATCATCGTCATCATCTTTATTTTTATAGCACCATTTCCAAAAGCTCAATAGCGCTTTACAGAATCATAAGAAAGAAAAATAATGAATTAAAAACTGACATTGAATGATAATAAAAAGAATACTTGACGAATTACATTTAAGTTACGATAAAAATCCTGCTTAAAAATTCTAAGCTGCACTAAAAACTAAGTCCCTAAAAATTAAAACAATAACATCTAGAAGATGTACGATTAGATATTCTATATATAAGTATTTACCAAATCAGTGGATAACAATTTTCGTGCATTCTAATTGGCTCCCGTAACTCAGAATATCCTTGGATATTCACTGTTTTGGGACGGGAATCAAAATGGCTTCTCGTTTCATGATGGTTTCAAAAGATGAAATTTCAGCGGTAAAATTTGAAGCAGCTGCACCAACATCTACCAAAAAGGCGACAAAATTTGGCTTGTCAGTGATTACTGGTCTGTAGAAAAACATTTTCTGACTGAATTTGCAACCAAATTATATAGAATGATCCCGAAACACTGTCAATTGAAATGTAAACAAACTCTAACTAGGTGATGTCTTTTATTTACAAAAACTTCCCTTTTGATTTTTATCAAACTGATTTGGTAAATACTAAAACAAATATCCCCGTCAGGGTCGGTTCATAGTGCTCCCCTGTTTCCTTCTTTTGCCCTCACACCTACCCTAAGGGTTACTATTTTTACATTCCCCAATCTTCCTCTGTCATAAAATCAAAGATGGTGGCTACAACAATACGAACATGAACAAGGTTTCGCCCACCCAAAATACGCCTGCCATGCAGGCTACTCAACACTTTCACATCTCGGTATATATCCACCACAATTCACCTCCCCTTCGGGGGATAGTTGTATCTTACATTGTCTAGAAAACCTAACTTATCCTTACATATGTATGAATGTGGTAGAGTATTATGTAAAGGGGCTGTGACATGGCTGTCTGGAGTTAATATTGTTTATGGTGGGTGTTGAGCAGCACCAGTTAAGCGACCTTATTCACCATGAAACTTGAGGAATCATCTGAGAATGACAAAATTACAGCTTTTTGTCCAAACAAATTTGTCTTCCAAGCATTACTATAATATATCAGTCATTACAAATAAGAAAAATGAAATATATTGAAAAACTGGTGGGCTAACAAGTTTTAAAAAACCGTACTTGCAATCAGTTTCAATCTTCTTCAAGTTTGTCCATCCTTGCTTCCTTTTGTAATGCTGTGTCATTTGTACCCTCTTCCAACTTTTTGAGCAGTTTAATATTGTAATGTTTCACTCGATTTGGTGGCAGCTACATGTGTATTGATTTTTGGTGAATATTTTGTGACACAGCTTCTTTTATGGAAACGGCTTTTTTTTGCAAAATTCCCTGACTTTTCCTTGACCTTAATAAAAAGATTGTTTTTCCCTGAGATATATATTTTTTGGCTTACAGTGGTGACCCTGCAGCTTAATAATTATCTACCTATTAAATATTATAATTTTTTTTTCTGATGCTAACTAGGTCTGAGGGATTATAGTCCTTACTTGGCTTTGAATACAGGTGAGATTTTTCATTTTATATTATTTAGCAGAAGTTTACTTTGGAGGCCTACATGTAGTAAATGTGGTGACTAGGCCACTTGCTAACTCTGTTATTTGGAATTATGGCCATTTCTCTGCGATGCAGGTTTACGTACCTTATTTCATGCAAGCTGCTGCCTAACCTAAAAACCATGATGATAAATATTATGCACATTCTTTGTTGCCTAAAAACCATGATATATAATAATATGCACATTCTCTGTAGCCTCAAACCCATGTGATTTATTCTGCACAATTGCCTGTAGCAATAAAATCATATAATATACATAGAGGATATTACATGGTCGCGCAGAAGAGAAATTTTGTATCTCCAAGTGGCCATGTAATGTTCTATTTATTATGTAAACACCAATGAACTACCAAACCATTTCCCTTTAATAGTTTTTAGGTGTGAAAGGTGCGATTTATATTGAAGCCATAGCAATGGTGATATTTTCACATGTGAAGATAACATGTTATTTTCACAGGTGAAGATGTCAAGTTTTCGCATGAAAGCTCACCTGGTACTTCATTGGTGTTTATATAATAAAATGTATTATGCACATTCTTTGTTGCCTCAAACCATGTAATAATAGATGTTATGTTATACACATTCCATGTTGCCTGAAAACCATGTAATATAATCAAACACATCCCCTGCTGCCTTTAAATCATGTAATGTTTATGCACATTCTCTGTTGCTTCCAAACCATGTTATATTATTATTATTCACACTCTGTGTTGCCTTAAAACTATGTGTATATCATGTACAGATTTTAATCTTGATCACTATGAGTTAAACGGTGACCAGCATTTATGACTCAACACCAAGGGTCAGCTGCATAAATCCTGGATGTAAATGCTAACATATGTGATTGTTGTGAAAACTAAAAAGTTTGACCAGGCTGAACGTCAGTTATGAGCTCTTGTCAGCTGAATGAAATTTATGCCTTGTATTGAATTAATACATCACTGTAAATTCTGTAAGGATATTTTCACAACAAACTAATAAGAATTTATGTCAGTTTGTTTTGTTAACCATTCATTGATTCTATTTAAATTGTTCCAAATATTACCACAATCTTCAGTTTCCTCTTGTTTATTTTGTGCTTGTAAGTATTTTCCGTTCGCATGCTGGGGGATCATTTCAGGGTCAAGTTGGGGGATCCCTTTTGTGCTGGGGATCATTTCAGGGTCGATTTTTGGGAACCTTTCCTGATTGCAGATAATTTTTGGGTAAATTTGGGGATCATTTTGAGGGTGAGGATCATTTTGGGGTGCGGGATCATTTCGTGCCAGTGTACAGTGTACTTCTTAATCTTCAGACAAAGTCCTGTTTTCACACTTTAAACCTCTGAGGTCAACAATATTCATTTAAACATTTTGTTGGATCTTCAGAAATAAAGACTTATCTTACTTTCGGAAAAAAAAATCCCTTGCTTAATTTTAGCTGCTAAATGTATGCAATTGGAAAATAGTTCCTGCGATTTCTAAGCTGGTGTCTTAAATCTTACTCCCTTAGTGTTGGATTTTTGGGAGGCCATGGGACCTGATCAAATACGCCAATATAACAATACCCTGGCCAACAAAGCTGCGTTGATGCTAGCCGACAAATGGGGTACTGGCTTATTATCGCACGCAGACATGTTTGGACCAATGGTGTTAATTAGGCTCCCTGAGGTCCTTCTGGACTGTGTTACTCGAGGATACCAAGATGAGCCACTCAAGGCCCATGCAGAGATGGTGCAGGCGAAGCTGCATTATGAATTCAGCATTGAGGTCCCAGTCAAGTTAATTCAGGGGAAACTGCACACTAGAATCTCGGCTCACGTGTACAATGAGCTGAGTGATTACGACAAGTTGTGTGAGGCTATTCTGATCATGACCAACGATGTGTGTAATAATCCAGCTGCTTATGACACGTATAAGAATTACAGGTAGTTTTTAACCAGCTGTTTATGATGAGACTGAATTAACAAATTGTGAAAGTTTATGCTGCGCAAAAATGTTCATTATTTTGTATTGAGTAGGAAATGAGATTTGAAAGTTGAGGCATTCACCGAGGCATTCACCTAATCACCGGGCTCAATTCTCCCTAATTATTTATAAAAATTTAGGTAAATAATGCTCAAGAACAAACAATGTATATCTCAGTATGTTTTTATCATACACAAACCACTATGAATGACATCTTTCATTATAATTATCCTTACGTTTTGTATTTTAAGGCGTGTTCTATCGCGCATATAATTTCAAAATTATTAACGAACCTTTTGAAGGAATCAGTGTGAATACACTGTGGGGCCATTCATTGCAGAATACAGCACATGAGCATCATTAAATTGGTATTAATTATTTAATTCTTATGAAGGGCTTGCATTTACATATGTTGTGTAATAATTCTTGGATCAAATTAAGTTATTTAACTACTTTATATTGAACCGAATAAGTCAAATTCAACATGACAGTGTTAAGAATCCTAAGTGGCCAGAAGTAAACCAGTTGGTTATTTACAAGGGTGGCCGAGGCGTTGAATTCTGCCTTCCCGAAACATATCCAGCCGCCGTGCAGAATGCAAATTTGCGCTCAAGTTGTGCGCTCGGCCTACTCGAAAAAATAGTCAATCGGTTTCTAAAATGGAAAACCATGAGCTGGTAGAAACTAATTTCAATAAATTTTTCTCTATATTGTAATGCTATGAAAACAAGTTTTAACTTGTTAAAAATCTTGCTTGCTTAAAGCCCAGCCACTTCAGTCTTTCTGCCATTCTTGTCATCATCGCTTTCGTTATTTCCTAAACTTCTGGGTTCAAGCAACTCTATCTCAGACAAGGCGTTTTTAGCGTCCAAATCATCTGCTTCCACATTGAGATCCATTTTCTTTGCCATCAACACCAACAGTCTGTTCTGGTTTTCCATCGTCCTCATCAAAGCCTTAACTCGCTTCTTCGTTTTGCAAACTTGCTGCTGAATTTCTTTGATATTAGATTCCGTCATTTCTTCATACGCCGTCAGTGAAGGTGACTTCTCAAAAAAGCTAGCCTGCCCGGCTAACCATTCATGTAATCGCCTGAAGTGAAAAGAAAAAAATTGCTCCTTAACCCTAAAACAAATCAGTTGAAATCTCTTTTCTGTAGACGGTAGACTTGGTATTTGGTGACTATTATTTTACGACGTTGAGCTTGACATTCTAATGGTTAAGACGCATTACTATTCATTCCAAATATTTCGCCGTTTCTGATTAACTCAAATCCCCCGGCTAATTCTTCATAACTAGCTAGCGTTGACCAAAGGTGGAAGATGCAAGCAATATACCTTTGCTTCGATGGTACATTGCCTAAGCGGCCTCGTTTCCAGGCAAATAACCCATGGTGCAGCCTAGTTTCCAGGCGCGGCAGCCTACTGAACTAAAAAAAGTAGCGTTCCTTGCTATTCGAAGACGAAATAGCAGAATTTCTGACTAAAACTTTACGGAAGAAATTCAAACATACGCAAAGGATGTTATCTCCTTTTTGGGACTATCTACAAGAAAATAACACTCGATAAGCATTTCAGTTAGATCCCGAAGTCTTAAATGCCCGCCCCCTCATTTTGACGCACGCTAAAGTTACCTCAATTTGTTCTTGTGTGCGTTTGGTTTTAACTGCAGAGAAGGGTTATAAATCCTGCGAGTGACGATCTTTGGGTACTTGTCTTCAACTTCCACCACAAATGAAACTTGCATTGCCATGCGCTGAAGGGTGGCGTTCCTCTGAACAGACTCAATATCCCCCACTGCCAGGCCAACCTGTTGATGAAATAAAGTTCGATTGAGAACCCAGTGGTTTTGTCGTTTTTGTCGCTTAAGAAGTCGTTCATTGTAGATCATCCTGCTCCACAGACGAAACTAAACCCAGGCTCTGGTCAAGTCCATCAGCGAGACTTGCTGAAATCTTTGTTCTGGACCCCACCTGTCCACCAGGAGTTGAGTACGCGCCACGAATGGCCTGTTAAAAACGCCATTTGCCATTTGCACATCTCCCACAATACACCTTGTAAGCCAACCAAAATTTTGCGTAAGCACTGCTTTTAATTTCTCTTGGGAGGCAAACGAGGTGTATCATGGGAGATGTGCAAATGGCGAATTGCAGATTTGCCAATCAGTTTCAAAGAAGAATTCAAAACACATTTTCGATAACTGGTCGAGTCTGTTGGGGCCCAGAGCAAGGCTCTTGGCGCTGCTTCGGAGACGTCACTAGCCGGGGTTGGCTTTCGTCTGCGAGGCAGTCTAATAAGGAAGGACCTTACGATCCGACAACGGCGACGTCCATGAAAACGTCGCTGAAAAATAGACTTGGCATCCATTTAAACTTTTTCGCCGTTATCCCAATTCGCCTTGTTACTTAAAAGAAGGGAATTCTGGTTGGAGCTGAAGAGAGGGGACCGCCCCCGAGTTCAGACAGAGATTGTAGAATTTATCTCCTTGCCGTTCCCGTTCTCAAGTAAACTTAGAATTTGGTCATTTCACGTCGTAGTTGTGCAGGGACAGTAACGAAATGTACAAAAACGCATGCTGCACGTGCAGAGTTGTTATTTGGTCATTAAACCTATTGCTTTTTGACGTTCTCCTTGCCGTTGCCGTCGTAGTTTTGTAAGGTTCCCGCAAATTTTAGGTCGAAGACAGTAAGAACACATTATGTATCATTCCAAACAGACAGGGAAATTTAGAAATAATATTCGCCTTTGACAACTGAAACCTGTCAGAACACCCTGCCAGCAAAGCCTTTATTTCGCTTACTCGATCTTGGCGTACTATGCATGAATGGAGAAAGTTTTTTGTTGAGCATGCGTTGCATAATGCTAGGATATTGCTTCAACCCTATGGTCCTAATTTCCTTGCGCTTGGTACAGTGGTCTCTGTTATGAACATCAATCAACGCATGCTCGCGCACAAACTCAGTTTCACGAGAGAAAACAAGATTGACCAGTGTAGAGGTTCGGGTTGCGGCTACTTCAAAAGATTGACTCTATGCAGACAGAGCCTCCATTTCTCCTCCTCGATCAAGAAGAAGACAAAAGGAGGCTGTGTTTGCAGGGTGCTGTCAGAGGTGATATAAAGGATATTCCATGCCCGCGCGTGGATACGAATTTAGTCTTCGAGATATCGAGTTGAACACTCGAAGATAAAATAAAATGCATGCTTGCGCACAGATAAATTTTTTTCAGCGAACGAGTGAGATATCGAGTTGAACACGAGAAGATAAAATTCGTATCCACAAGCGGGCATGTAATATTCTGTTTATTATATAGACACCGATGGAAAGATGCTGTGATGCTCTGAAGTTGCCATGACAACCGTGGTATCTTCTCATCTGAAGGATAAAAATTGTATCTTCACTGGATACCAAATTTTTGTCTCTGGAAAAATCCTGGTATTTCATCGGTGTCTATATAATAATAGAAACATATACAAAAATATATATGTCAAAAAATAAATGTCAAATATCTAAACAATCTTACCAGAAGATTCATGAGAATTATTGACATCAGGAAGAGAAATATGTAGATGAAAACCATAGATATTTCTGGAAATGGGTTGAGTGGGTTTCTTGTTGTCTCACTTGAGCTGTTGATGCTTTCCACAAAAGTGGTGTCATACTCAAACTCACCAATCATCATAACGGATACCTTCACGATCGAGAAACCAATGTTTCTGAAGGAATCCTGAAATGTAAATGATGGATAACCAAGATAAAGCAGAGTTTTAAAAGTAACACAGATGATTTATTGCTG